GTCCTAAGTTATAGCAAAGCCTTTTAAGATATCTTTGTTTTCAACATGTGTGTGATAAAGAATCTGCTTGTTAGTAATTTAGTCATGTAGTATGGCAGCCTTCCATATGTACAGATTGTCGAACAAGTTATTGATGTCTATCTGCCAGATCCTTCAGTTCCTCCCTCAACAAGCTGAATCTTAAAAGAGTAGCAAGCTTTATCCCACAAGGAACGGCACAGCATTTGCTGTTGTCTAGGAAACCCACTTTCTTGATACTGAATCTGAAGAGTATGAGTCAAGTAATATAAATCAGAGAAAAAAAATTAAAAATTAACAAGGTAAAGATGATCATCCTTAGTAGTGGCTTGATGAATACTACTCTACCAGAGTAATACTTGGCCTTCTGGGAACTATTTGAATGAGTAGTGGTTGATGAGGTCAATGGAAAGAAGATATAATTATAAACTAAGTCCCTTGTCTTGGGAGTCAGAGCGCTACTGGCTTCCCGGAAATAAGTACACATAATCCCTATAGAAGAAAAGACAATGACAACTGAGAATGTGGATACTATCTGCTGACCAGGCCAGGGAGAAGAAAAACAGTAGCCACATTCATTGCCCAGGAACTCTGAAGTTTGTTATGCCAACTAGCAAATAAACTTGGTTAATAGAAACAGCCTGAATCTTGGCATTTCAGCAAGCTGTTGGCTTGCTGCTAGACACTTTGTTCCCTTGTCACAAAGGGCCCATCAAGCAATGCTGTACACAAATGATACCTGGGATCACTCCAGGAACCTCTTGTTACTCTGTAGACTGAGATATACAGTGTAAACCCTCTCTATGTTGCACAAAAGGGCAAATATTCAAAATAAGTAATGTCTGATGTCTCATCAGCAAGAATAATTAAAACAAAGGCAAATGGCAGTCACTGATGGTGAGACTGTAGACAGGATAGACCCCAAGGAATTATGTGGTCAAAAGTATATCAGTATTCAACAAAATAACAACTTTGTCCTAGATTGCTTTATCTTATGGCGTTATTCCTGAGGACTGTGGTAATCACACTGCTCACTTCTGCAGGAGACAATAGAAATATTTGAATTTGGTCATTTGTCAGAAGGAGTTGAGCTGTGTCATTAGGCTGTCATTTCTTCTGACGGAATGTTATCAGTAGGTGATAGCAGGTACGCATCATTACAGTTGTCATGCAGTGTTTCCCGAGACAAACAGATGGGGTGTGTCTTCTGTGGCAGTGCTGAGTGATCACCCTGTGATTGGAATCAGCAGGACTGCTATAAATCATAGCATACACCTTAATAGTTAAACAATTATCGGTAGTGGCAGAACTGGAAAATTCTTTAGTGATGATTTGCTGATTTTTATAATGAAGAAGACACTTTATAGGGATCTTTTTATCTAAATAACACAAGGAATCAAAAGCAGAGCCTTTATTTTAAATGCATACCTGGGGACTTTTTGTATTTATTACATTTCTCTGGACTGGAGGGAGGTAGTTTATCTTTAATAGCCAATCCCCAAAGTTCAGGAAACAGCTTTTCATATCTATTTTTAAAATTTAAGTGTAATACACATGCACAATAGTTTTATCATATAAAGATAACATGGAGAAAGAATGAAGGAGCGCAGAAGTGACCACTATTAAAGTTAAGCCTGGATAGGCTATTTTGGTGCTACAAATAAACAAGATATGGATTGGCCTATGGAATGGAAAGAACAATATATGTTCTTGAGGAGGAAAGACTACAGAGCTTCTTCCTGCCTATGCCCCATCACTTTCCATCATCTTGGCCTTATTCCTCTAATATCTTCTCTACTCTCATTCTTCTACCTCTGCAGTCCCTATGTTATTTGAAACATCTCAAACTCTCCACCTTTGAAAACCTCACCCTCCTGTTCTGCTGTGTGGCTTTGCCCATCTTTTCATGATCTTTGAGAATTTTCTTCAGAATTTTAAAACCCTATCTAGAAGCGTGTCAGCTCAAGTAGACCATCGCCATCTCAGGTACAAATCTACTGGCTCCTGTTCTTAGATCTGATAACTCACAGTCAACCAATCACCAGTAGCATTGAAAATCAAATATAAACATAAAATCATAATATAGATACAGCAGTAGATTTGAGTCTTCTCTGTGTGCCATGGCCTGTTTTACACAGCTCACACGCATGAGCTGCAGAATTGCAGTCATCCTGTGAGGTAGACATTACCACTGTCTCAATTCCACAGGTGAAAATATCTTGAGTTAACTCATGAATGCTGTGGTATTGCTAGCTGGTGACTAAGTCATGTTTCAAAATTGCATGTGCCCCAGCTTTTCAGCATCAGAGATGTGGTTGGCTCCAGAGAGGAAGTGGATTTCTGGTTTTGTTCTCTTTTACTTCATTTACTCTCAGACGGTCACGTAGGATTTGTGGCTACTGTGCACAGTTTGACAGCACAGCTCTGGAGTTTTTCAAGATGTGGATCACTAGGTTAGAAACAAAAAAGTCAGGCACAAAAAATACCTTCAAAGAAAATAATAGTTGTTCACCATTTCTAGAGTTTTTTCTAACAAAAACAAAGCAAAAGGTCTTAACTTGGTCACTGCATGGTGGTAATTCAGTTAAATATATTTGTTATCTCCTTTGAATGAGACATGGTGTTGGGTTTTCAGAGTGCTAAGTGACATGGTCACGGTCTTACCAAGCACCATGTAGCCTAAGTACCTTTATGCAAGATAACATAGACATATTTCATAGTTGCTTGATTAATTAGTAATGAAAGTAACTAAACATCCCTTGTCTAATACTTTTAACATTTGCTATTATTTTTTTCACACTTAATGCTTGAATCCATAGATGCATTCAAATTACAATTTTAAACTTCAAAAGCCACAAGGTGTTTTCCAGGCCTTTTTTTTTGGAGGGGGGGGTAAGTTGTTGCCTATTTTTAATTTTTATTACTTTCTCTAATTTTTATATAGGGACAGCTGTGTAACTATATTTAATTATCTAGTCCTATACTGAGGGTCTTATGCCCATGTTCCCTAATTAAGCCAGACCTGTAGCTCAGTAGGGGAAACACTACAGACCATGTAACATGATTTCTAGCTTCTTTCTGATTCTAACTCCCTCAAGTTGGAGACTGAGAAGATGGTAGAGCACTAAGGGGCTAAATTCCTCCTGGAGCAGCTAAGAAGGATTGAAGACTTCTGGGTAGGGGACCTTGGTTAGGGATGCTCCTCCTTGACAGATATGAGTTCTCCTTAACAGTGCTTCTGCACTGGCCTATGGTGGATGACAGGCTGAACTTCTCACTTTCAATTCTGATTCTTGGTCTAGTGGCTCATCAAATCTGACTATGTTAGTTTCCTCGTGCTTGTTAGATTTCTGTCAACTTGACAGAAGCCAGGATCATCTGGGAAGAGGAAACTCCTGTTAGAAAATGCCCTCCAGGTTCCCCATAGAGTCATCTTCTTGACTAATGATTGTTAGGAGAGGTCTCAGCCACTGTGGGTGGTGCCATCCCTGGACAGCTAGTCTGAGTGGTATATAAAAGCCAGCTGATATAGAGAACAGACCAGTAAAGTTTTCCTCCATGGCCTCTGTTTAGTTCCTGCCCTAATTTCTCTTGAAAGTATACTACAAACTGAGGGCTGAATTATAAATACCCTTTCCAATCCAACTTGCTTTTGCATATAGTCTGTATCGCAGCAACAGGAACCACAGTCGGACATCAGTGAGAACACACAAGATTTGAGAAGCACTGGAAGCAAAGCCTTCATATTTTTTTTCAGTTATTTTATTCCTTTCTACAGGTATATTTAAGGGCAAATCAATTTTCTTGGTCTGTAGGGATATGTTATAATTGTATGAGTCGGCTTTGGGTATTATAACAGAATTCTAGAGACTGAGTGGTTTAAACAGGAAGAATTTGTTTCTTACAATTCTGGAGGCTGGGGATTTTAGGAATAAGAATCTAGCTGACTTGTGTTCTGGTGAGAGATGATTTTTCCTGGTACAGAGATGGCTATCATCTTGCCATGTTTTTACATTGTAGGGGAGAAAAGAAAGAAGCAGAGGACAGGATGAGTGGGGAAGAGAAGGGCAGGGAGAAGCTTGCTTCTTGTGAGAGCATTAATCCTTTAGGAGGAATGTTCTTGGGTGGCACCTCAGTCTTTGCCTTTCCCTCTCCTCCCTGGTATTCACTGTTCCCTATGTGGACTAGAGACGACGTCTTGGAGTGGGCTGCTGAAGTTAAATGCTAAGTAAGAGAGCTCCCCTCTCTATGAATTAGAGCTAATATCTAAACCCTCTTACAAAAACTCACTTGGGTATTTTAGGCAACACAATGCTGCTTCTTCTTTTTAATTTTTTATTCAAAACTTCTATTACCCCAAAATGAGCAGAAGAACTTATCTAAGATAATATTAAAGCTATAAATATGATATCCTTCATATCATTAATCCCTCTGTAAACGGGTAAAGTGTGGGTAAGGTGTTTTTTAATTATTTTAAAAGATAGAAAATATTATTTTACTCTTTTGAAAAGCATAAAGTGTATACTTTCAAAAAGCAAAATAGGAGGTAGGCTATTTTAAGCTTCTCTAAAGTGTAAACAAACCCCTTAAGCAGATATGCATTGTAAATGAACACACACACACACACACACACACACACACACATTCTAAGTACCTCAGTAGAAAACCTTAGAACCGATGTATACAACCAACTTCTATCATCTTGCTTAGATTTTGTAACTGATATAAAGCCCACAGTTATCTTTCACATCCTATTTGCTTTGAATTATTATTAGAGTTATGGTCAACATGGGCATCAATTATATTATGGAGAACTGAAGACTTTAGGAATGATTTTTTGAAAAAACAATTCAGATCTAGATTTTTAAGTTTTCTCTACACAAGTCTTTAACAGCATGAACAGGTCCATACTTAACCATAACACTGAGAAAAAGAGTCAGTATGAATTTTATCTCTTTAAGCCTTGTCTTTTGATCCTACAGAATCCACTTTGACACATGGCCCTTCGGCTCTCCAAAGCAGTGTCTCTTCATGGTCCATGCTGGTGAGGTCGTTAAGAGCACAGAAGCCCATGTCAGCAGATAATCACCCTACAGGAGGCCAAGTAAGCAAGCTTTAAGAATTGTATCATGCAATAATGTAACAATAATGTAATGTAATATAATATAATGTGACAAACAATAAATAGGCCATGACAAGCAACGTACCATTGTTTACACTCAAGCTTTAAGAAAATGCCAGACTTTACAAGCGTTTGAGAGGACAGAGAGTATGCCACATAACAGAGGTGGGTATTTTCTTTTACCCAGAATCAGATCAAAAATATTTTAGGCCATCTGATTCCTGACGAGTCATCTCTTGTCACGTGGGTAGGTAGTAACCTTGGTCATTGATAAACATGACTGTCCCCAGCAGAGCATCGTTTCCAAACCAGGTGGTTCTGGCACCCGTGTTGAATACATTCTTTCTCTCACTGTCTGCTCTGTTACTAGGTAATCTGATGGAATGGGATATTTCATGCTTCACACAAAAGTAATTGCAAAATCCCTTCCTTCAATGAGTATGTTACTGCAAACTGATTAGAAAATGGCATTAGTCTGTTTGTTTCGATGAATAATTGCAACATTTGAAAACCATTTGAGAACACCGTCTAGGCACTTTCAGTGTGGGGAGTTAAAAACAAAGCAAAGCAAACCAAACCAAACCAACCAACCAAACAAACAAACACATACCCAGAAAACTAAGCTCTGGCATTTTATTGATAAGTACATATCTTTCATTGTTATTCTGAGTAGTAATTTCTGTGTCACATTCAGACAAAATTCTGTAGTGTGTGGTCAGATCAAGATTGACAGTGCAAAAGTTAAAGGAGGTTATAGAAGTGAACAGGGGTATTAGAAGAATAACTTTACCAGAACCCAGAATGAGAAAGTAATTCCTGTCTTCTTCAATCATTTTTGTTGTTGGAAAATTATAAAGATAATAAAAATTGAAGGAAGAAGTGTGAACAATATGTCCTGGGCACTGTAAACAGAAATTTACTCAGTGATCTTCCAGGCTTTCTTGAAAGGAAACTGGTTCCTAGAAATTACATGGAAAATTTCCTGAACTCAAGAATCAAATTGCGCTTAGAGTTTCAGACATACACACTTTAGGGATTGTTGCCATGGGGCTCAAGGAAGAGACAGGGCAGTATCCTGGATGTTGAAGTTATAGAAATTGGGTCATTTTTAGCAAAAACACTATAGCTTCAAATTACCTTGTCACTGTGAGATAGTCATAAAAATAACTTAAAAATAACCATCATATTTTTTAAAATTTCATGTGATAAACTACAGGACTAATAAGCTGTGGTGGCAGAGTTTTCTTTGACTCAAACTGCACCTGAAGGATATAAGAAACATAAAGAGCACATGCCCTACCCTGTAGTAGCCAGTAACAAATAAGGCTCCTGAAGATAAGAAAAGTGTCACATGCTTTATCAATTTATTTTTTCGACTCTTCTGGATTCCCTAAATAATTTCATTCTGGCTTTCTGTGTTTGAATGCTTGAAAACAGGTCCTTCAACTGACTATAGAATGATGGCCACTGATAGCTTTTCCAGTGGATGTGAGGGAAGGTTGAAAATTTAGGTTAAGTTGAATTAGAGACTTCAGGAATCTTTTAATTTGCATCTAGAACACAGACAATTAAGTACAATTTGTCACTTAGTGACCCTTGGCTCTTTACTGTCCTAAGGATACAAAGAAGCACAATTTGAAATAGGAGTTTTGCCACCAAAGCAGCTTTTCTTTTGGACACTCAATTGAGAATCTTCATAGGTCCTACAGTCAAGAACCCTGGGCTGCAGTGAAAGTCCTGTTGGCCCATCTCACCTGTAGCATTCTTCATGCTCTTTACTTCTTAAACCCTGAAAATAAATGTTTGTATAATGAAAAGTTTGTTTATGTGGTATGTAAATACAAGGTCTGTAGGCTTAGATTTTTCAAAACCTACTTTAATAAGGGTTCTTAAATGCTTCAACCTCCCTTCTAACCTGCCACCCACCAGAGGTAGTGGGAAAGGAAGGTTGATAAGAAACAGGGGTTGTGGACCTGTTTAGAAAGAGTTCTTTGGGCAATTCCAATCTTCATTGTCAGGATATCAGCAGTTCAGTCTACTAGCAAAATGCAAACATGAATCAGTAACAACAACTCGATCCAAAAGAAATTGCAAGGCTCTGCCAAATGGCCCAAGTCCACTGAAGCAGCAAGAAGTGGCCAGAATATCATGAGAAATTCTTTGATGACTTACTCTCTATGAAGTCACCACAAGCAAAGATCAGCAACTTGATGCAAGGCGAACAAATACCATCAGTGAAGACTACCAAGGCAGAGCAAAGTGAACCAATGCCACAGCCCCCTCCCACTGTCTGTGTGGTCATATTTATATTCTTCCTAAACATCATGTGCCCTTTCTCATGTGTCTCCTTCAGCAAAATATCCTTTCACTTGTCTGCTTCAGCAAAACATCATATGACATAACTCATTTTTCAAAGGAACCAGAAATTTCTACTTCAGGAGTCTCTGCTGTGTGTTTTCGTGTTAAGCCTTCTCCTTTGTATTTCAGCTGGTACCACAGCCTATAGGTTATGGTCGTCCTGATACCCATGTTAAACTCTATTTCACTAAAGCTTTCAATTATATTTCTTACTATTCTTCTGATTATTAAAATAATGTGTGCTCATTATAGTAAAAGTGTAGTCTGCAGAGAAGTGTGAAGTGTGAGACATATTACCAGTTATGTAATGACTAACAGGTAATCCATTACTCGATTCTTTCTAGAGTTACTTTTCTACACACTCTCTATAAAAAAATATGAAAAATTTGCTTTATAGCTTTGTGTACTTAACACTAAATCATGTCATTTTTTTCTATGGCATGACAGAAGTAAGTATTATCCTGCATATAGTAATACAGTTTAAAATATATTAAACTCTATCATTGATTTCTTTAATTTGGGTAGATTTTAGAAATACTCAATGGAATGCATTTCTTTTGTGTATGACTCTGCGCATATTTCTAACAATTTTGTTAGAAAAAGTTTTGAAGGTTGGGCATATTACTCAGGCTTCTACAGAGAAACAGAACCAAAAGCGTATATTATTATAAACTGGGACTTACTGAGCTGACTCAGAACATCACAGAGGCTGAGAAATCCAGCAGTGACTGCTTGGAGGGTGGAGAGCTAAATCTGTTGAGACTGGAAAAGCTAGAAGCCTCAGAATGATAGAAGAGCCAAGGGACAGCCCTGGTCTAAGTCCAGAGGCCTGGCAGTACTTACAGAGCCTCTAGTGCAAGTCTGCGGTCAATAATTAAAAAGCCTGGAGTTTTATGTCCACAGGCAACAGCAACAAGTAAGTGAACTTGATCAGGAGGGGAGAGCATGAATGAAGGCTGGCTTCCCACTTCTACTTTTGTGGTTCATTTTGCCCACGACTACTCCCACCTCTTGGGATTCCTATTTGCCCTGCTCATTCACCTAGGAAGCAGTCTCTCCAAAATTCCCCTCCATACACACCCCCTGAAGTATGGATTACCAGTTTTCTGAGCCTCTTCTCAATTCAGCCAAGCTGATAGCCAGAGTATCCATCACAGACATTAGACCTTACAGGTATTATTATAGAATATATGTGAACACTGATTTGATCATCTCTGTGAGTCTTCCTAACATTGCTACCTCACCAATGCTGACTTTCCAGGAACTCTTTTGGTTCCATAAGGAAGATGGACACAGTTAATGCCAAATGTAAATATCTTTCTGAAAACTGTAGGCATAATTCTTTGTGCACTGTATAAAGGTCATCCTTGTGTTATTCAAATGTTGATTTCTCTGCCATCATTTTTTGTTTCAATCCAGACATGGCTTTGTTATGTTTATTCTTAGAAGTTCCTGTCTCAAGTTTGTATAAACATTGAGAAACATCATTCATTTTCTACCGTGCTAATAAAAGCCAATGAACCAATACAGAGCTTCTGAGAGAAGAAAGTGAAATTTCTGATTGTAGGAGGGGTGGAGAAAGAATCAGAAAGTGAGGGAGGGAACCTTGAGGAGAGGTTGACAAAAACATTAGAAGAACAGAGCTGAATCAAAAAGGAGAAAGAAATGCAAATAAAATGGGAATGTTGTCTGGGAGGAAGTCCAACTAGCTTGCAAGTTTAGAACAGAGTAATTATTGCTCAGTATTTGGCTCAAGACAAGTTTAATAAATCTGAGTTTCTCTGTATGGTTATTGGGAAACTAGCAAAGGTAAGGAAATACAGTTGTGTTTGATTAATCTACTACTTAAATTTATATTAAAATAAGTCATTTTACAGGAAAGCAGATGGAGAATAAAGAGGTTGGACCTGATGGCAGGGACCGGGGTTGGGGGGAGGGTGGCTCTCATAAATAGTTCTATACCAAAGCTCAAGAAATGTTGAAAGATACTGTGAAATCCAAACTGTGGCCTTTGTAGGCCAAGCAACTGAGGCTATCTTTGTGTGGGAACCTCCCCTGAGATAGAGGGGATAGAGAGGCATGGAGGAAACCCATTGGTAACAGTGAACCACCAGCAACTGAGTATTCCAAGAGGCAACATGCCCTGCTGACTGAGAAGTTAATCCAGGCAGCAACAGTTGCTGGAAGAAGCAGAAAAGGCTGTGCATGGTCTGAGCATCCCAGAGCTCATCTACAAATGAAGAGATAAAGCCATAGGAAGGAAATGGCATGTCTCTTGGTGGTATCATCTCACAAGGAAACTGGGGTTGACAGAACTGGTACCCAAGTGCCAATGAGTGTCACCACATCCATACAAACAGACAGATTCAGGCATCTGTCTGAATTGTTTCCTTTCTCCCATGGAAACTTAAAATGTTCCTACTTGATTCTGATTCACAAGGCAGAAGTTACCAGAACTTTCTTCCCTTTTCTTTGTCTATGAGTAACTCCTTACAGTCTTACAGCACAACTTGCTCGCCTCTCTGCACTGGAAATGTTTACTCTGTAGCCCTCCCCTGAACTGACTTTCCCATTTCCTCTTATTTTCCCAGTTTAAAATCTCTAGCTTTCCCAGAAATTCACTT